ATATCATTTGTAAAAATAAATTGAATGTTTTTAGCATTATTTAGCTGTTAATCCTAAATATCAGTTATATTTCCTTCCGAATTTTATTTTATTTTAAAATATTTTAGATGTATATCAATTAGATGTAAATCGATGTCAATCGGCTATAAATAAGATGGGTCAAATTTTAGCCGATTTTTGATGTATATCAATCGGCAATAAGTATGCCAATCGGCTATAAATAAGATAAGTTAAATTTTAGCCAATTTTTGGCTGATTTCTAGTGTATGCCAATCGGCTAGGCTGATTTTTTGATAATTTGCCGAATTTAGGCTGAATTTAGGCTGATTTTTCGCATGTCTGATTTTTTTAATTTCGATCAGTGAATGATATGTTTGCATGTGTTTTCAAATCAAGCTTGTTAAAAAGACCTTCAACTTGATGCTGGTAGATGACAATATAATAAATATATATAATTCTTAACGAAATTATAAATAGTGGAAAAATGATATATTGGATCGTCACAAATGCAAAATTGCATAAATTCTTTAAGAAAACTGCTGTTTTACATAGCAATTCACTCAAACCAAAGTCATTTGTTATTCCATTATTTTTGTCATCTTCCAAATTCTGAGCAAATCGCAATTTTAAATCAGAAGGTGGAGAGATCCAAGATTTTTGGAGAATCACATGATAAAAGCTAGATGCAAATGATTGTGCACTATTCCCTCCAAGCCGGCATACTGCTAATAGTAAATGAAGCCATGGTAAAAACTATTTTTGAAAGGATTCTAAGGCTTTTGTAATTCTATGCTCTAAACTATCAAATAGAATTTGAAATTCTTCATTAGATAAACATCTACAGCTTCTAAAAGCTGATCTAAAAAAAAAATATCAAAATTACTAGTAAGATTTTGGAGAAATTCGTGCCATTCAAAAATTTTATTCGGCATTTCATGAGCACGTCGACCTGGAGGTAATGCAATTAATTGTCCATTTTCATATAATCGTGGAGTAGTATCTTGTCCCATTATAAATTGCATTAGAGGTTCATAAAAGTGCTTGGCAAAGTTGACTAAGCATTTAACTTGAATATTTAATTTGGGATCAGGAAGTCAGATTTTAAAAAGATACCAATCATTGAGATAAGATTTAGGCATTTTTTTATACTTTTCCAATTCTTCAATAAACCAATGTACAAATTCAATATGGGCAGAATGACGATCAAGATATTGTTTGACTGTTTGTAATTCATAACCCCAACGAGAACGGAGAGGTAACTGATACTGATTGTAGTTAGTGAAATCCTAACAACCCATCATATAACTCTTGATATACGAGAATGTTTGTTTTAATAACGATAATACAAGCTATTTTATTGGTTGTCCTGCAAATCCGAATGATGTTTCGCAATTTTTAAATTATATCTGATACAATAGTTCCATTTGTACCTGATATTAATGATGAGCTTAGATAATATAAACGTTAGAAGGAGACTTTAGCAGTGAATTTTCCTTGCTTTAGCCAGCGACGCAAGATGTATGACGAGATCCAAGTTTCTTAGTTACTTTATATGCAGAAAATACATAAAAGAAAAGACAAGAAAGGAGAGATTAGTTTACGATTTTAAATCTTTTTTTCAAATTAACCTTTTTTGACTTTTTCTCTTATTGCTTGTAACAATAAAATAATGTACCGTTTTGAATAGACTCTACATTGATATATAGAAAAGCATTACTAAGCAGATATTACGATTGTAAATTACCAAGTAAAAATTTACTACGATAGTCATGACAATTGCCGCGGTATTAGGTCATCTGAGACGCAGCACGATTTGCGACTAACAACGGTTGCATACTGATTTTTTACCCAAATAATTTACAAACTCCCTGAAAAATAAAAAGTCACAAATAGAAAAGCTAAATTTATTAATAAATTAAGCAGTACTTTAATATAGTTAGTGAAAATTTTGAAATTTTTTTTTTATTATTAACTTCTACAAAGGGATGGTTGAAGAAAAAAATAAAATGCTCGTTTGTTTGCGTGCTGTTTTTTGTAAATATTTCATAATTTGAATAATTTGAAATTATTTATTCATATAAAATCAAATCCCAACATTTTGTTTTTTTTAATAAATAATTGTTATCACTACACATTTCGGTTTATATTAACCATACTTATGAGCCAATTTATTTTTAAAATCTTTTCCCTTCTGATATTTATTATACTTGCTAAAATCTTTTCTTTTCTTTTCTTTAATTTCCTTCTTTGTAGCCTTAACATAATATTTCCTTTTTGGCTCACCCGAATTTACACGGCGACGTCTGTTAGGCTGTTGTAACTCATCGTCATTCTAGA